GGTGATGGTACAAAGCTGTGGTTATTAATCCCTTCTGTGGGTATTATTGGATAGTACTGTTCAAAAGATCTAATCAAATTATATAATCGATTAACAGCAACACTAAACATCTGTAAAAATATGGCATAGCTTTTATTGTAAAATCTGATCATAAATACTATTGTAGCCTGGTATTATAAACAGTAAATCGTATTAATGAAGAGAAAATACATATTTGCTAAGTTCTTTCATTTATGTAGTTAAATTTCTGCCTTCCCTTAATGTATTCTCATTAGGTTTACATTACTTGACTTTCATAACTGCTCCATTATGCCTGGGAATTTCAAGGTCAACTTGTTTTTTGTTAGAGAGTAGACATCCAATATGATCACACTTCAGAATCTCATTCCTTTGTGAGCTTTCATCAAAGTGAATATGTCTAAAATCAACAAAAAAACTGGAATAGACTCCCTATATGAAATGAGCTAATGTAGTGTTTGTGCTTTCTGCTATTTAAAGAGACGAAGGGCTCTCTCTTTTTAAAGAAAGTACAAGATGAAAAGAAATTGTCCCATTTTAGCAATTCTTCCAGTTTTTATTAAAACATCTGTGTTGGACAGGCAAATCTTACAGCTTTCTGCCAGTAATTTTCAGCAACAAAGAAGACTCTGTCAAAGCAACATTTAAAGAGGAACAATTTTATTAAGCACAGAAACTGTGACACAGGTTTCTTTTCTCGAACGTTGAAGCCAAATACTGAATTGCAGTGGCAACATCGGAAAGGTCATCAAAGAAGATAGAACTTGACAACCATATTTAAGATGCATATTTTGCACCTCCAGTGAAATATCCTTTAAAAAGATTCTTAATACAATTCAACATTAGCACTGTAGTTAGGTATGATTACACTGGTCTACAATTTTTGAGAAGTCGTCTGCTTCAGAGATAAAATGTGCTATTTATTACGTATTTTGATGTGCTGAATTCAAATATGACAATTAAAACAACTGATTGGCTACTGCGTCTAAGATATAAGTTTTTACATTTTATGTCTATGTATATTGTGTAGATAGTAGAGTTTTAATCATAAATTGTAAACCTAGGTCTTTTCATGTGTTTATGGTTGCTTTACATGATAATATTTCACTTGTCCTGTTTATGTAACACTTTAAAAATCAGCAAAAGGGTTATATAAATAAAATTTTATTATGAAACAAAAGGCAAAAAACTATTCTGTACATAGTTTAGTCCTATTCAGTGTCTACTCGGCGCTTCTTGGCTTGTCTCTTGTATTCATTAAATGGAGCATCTCTTGTCACTGTCCAGCAATAGTCTGCAAGCATTGATGGGCTCCATTTGCCCTGATAGCGTTTCTCCATTGTTGCAATATCCTGGTGAAATCGCTGCCGTGCTCGTCGCTCACTGTTCCGCAGTTGGGTGGAAAAAAATCTAGATGAGAGTGCAAAAAATGTATCTTTAGTGACATGTTGCAACCAAGGCTTTTGTATGCCTTGAGGAGGTTTTCCACCAACAACCTGTAGTTGTCTGTCTTGTTGTTTCCGAGAAAATTTATTGCCACTAACTGGAAGGCTTTCCATGCCGTCTTTTCCTTGCCACGCAGTGCATGGTCAAATGCATCATCTCGAAGAAGTTAACGAATCTGAGGACCAACAAAGACACCTTCCTTTATCTTAGCTTCACTTAACCTTGGAAATTTTCCACGGAGGTACCTGAAAGCTGCTTGTGTTTTGTCAATGGCCTTGACAAAGTTCTTCATCAGACTCAGCTTGATGTGTAAGGGTGGTAACAAAATCTTCCTTGATTCAACAAGTGGTGGATGCTGAATACTTTTCCTCCCAGGCTCCAATGACTGTTGGAGTGACCAATCTTTCTTGATGTAGTGGGAATCTCTTGCACGACTATAATAAGAGAGCACGACACTGTATGATTTCTAGAGCTGATATAGGGCAATTTGTTCAGCAGAGTGATGTAAGGTTCGTTATGATTGCATCATCCATGACTTCTAGGAATAACATGATGCAATTCATATGTATGACGCAATACCAACTTCAGATTGCGTCATTCATTGTTTTGCCTAAAAAGCAAGTACTGTCCAAACCCAGTCATAGATTTATTCATAGATCCAGTCAAAGATGTATTTTAGTCATTTCTGGTTTAAATTGAAATCCCTTCCCTTTACAACTCGCTTATCCTCCACCATTCCCAAGTCAAGGGTCGTATATACTGACCCAATAGCATATCTTGAAAACTAGAGCCAATCAACAATTTTAAGCATCATTTTCATTCTCAGTGACCCAGAATTAGTAAAGTTTGACTACATTTATTTCAGAAGCATTTTGGCTGTAGAGCAGTGATATACATGGAGTCAGAGGGGATGGTTTAGAGGTGTAAATCTGGGCTTTATTGGTTAAAATGCCTGCATTGAGATACGGTACTGTACTCTTTAAGATGAGACTTTAAAAAACGGGATGGACATTAGATCCTAATGTTATTAATGATTTGTATTTATAGGAGTACCCAGATGAATTCAAGGCTCCATTGTGTTAGGTGCTGAACATTTACATAGCAAGAGACAACTGCTGCCTCAAAGAGCTTACCATCTAACTAGACAAGACAAACAGCTGGAGAAAGCAAGTATTAACTCATCTTACAGATGGGAAATGGAAGCACAGAGAAGCTAAAAGGGCTGAGAATGACATTCTGCCCTCCGCACTCCCCACTCACCAATGTGCTTGACCAAAATGCATTCTCCCCTCTTGTAAACTGGTTGGTTGCTGCATTTACCCCAAAGGTAGGTGCTTCCCAATAATTCTGTATGAATAGAGTTTTTAAGTGCTTTAGAATTTTATGGAATGAAATAAGCTATGCACATCAAAAATATTTTAATTTTGTGTCTTTGGTTATTTTAAGGGACAGAATCCCTTGCAGAGTTCCTTGCATTCATAGAAGAATGAGGATCCACGTTAATCTTATGTATTTTGGTCACTACCATACAAGCACACGACCACGTGAATTCCAGATTCCATAGAACCCTGTTGAATCTCCCCACTCTCTCTGTGTATGCCATGTTCTAATGCACGTCAGCGTAACTTTTTTCTCCCCTAGTAGTTTACTCTCAAATGTTTCCTACAACAGTGTAAAAGAAATAATGATCAAGATCCGGGATCTTTCCCTGGGATTCATGGCAGGCGAGAAGCACCACCTCGTAATTAGTCCCTAGAAAAATGCCCTGTATTAGATGTATCAAATTCATTCTGCAGAGAAGGCTGAACTACACTTTTAATTTGAGTTTGTGGACTAAGGATAAAAAATAAAATTAAAGCCTACTTTGACTGAGAGTAGAATATGCCCTTTAGAGGGGGCGGGTAAGCCTAGAGTTGACTTGTTTCTCTTTTCCCTATTATGTGGGGCAGGAAAGGATAGTAACAAAGCATTTCTCTCACCTTTGGGCAGGAGCCTGGTCAGAGAGCAGGCTGAGCCCATGCTGGCAAAAATGGAAGGATTACACAAAAATGATGAATGAAATCAGACAAAAATGCAAGGAACAGGTGGCATCCCAGGCAAAAGTCTAGTATTTTTTCATGAGTGATCCTTGTGCTTATGCTACTATGTGAAACCTTAAAAGTCAGGGAGAAGGAACAGCACTGCAGGATTTCACTGCTAATACCAATTCACTCTTTTGAACTGACTGCTGTCCCACCCTCTTCTATTCAGCCCCCGGTATGTGGAGAATCATTTCACCTCCGTACTTTCAATTTGTGTTTCAGTTTTGTTATCTATAAAATAGGGATAATACTTCCCTACCTCACAGAGATACTAATCTTTCATCTATGTAAAGCACTTTGAGCTCCTTGGGTGAAGAGCCCTACAGAAGAGCGGAGTATTGTTTTTATTTGTTATTACTAGAAAATGTCTGGTTCATCCTGTTTATCTCATAGGGTCTAAAAAGATGTCCAATACTGAAATAGCTAAGAAGTTTAGGAAACCTTGAGGAAATCTTATAAGAAATGTCTTTATCTATGTATTTTTCCCTATGGAACCCATCACTGCTATCTATAGAAGTGAATAACAAATGTGTAAAATAAGCAATCTCTTAAATGGGAGTGTTTCTAGCATGCCATGAAACCCAGGGAAAGGTGCCGGATCCTGATCATTGTTGTCAATAAAACTGATTGTTAATCAATCAGGCCATGGAAGTGGGACAGGCACTGTAGAAGGTCCATCTCCAAAGTATGTCCTTGCTAGAAAACAGTCCATTGGAGCTTTGCTATAAAACATGCAAACATCCTGAGGAAATGACAGCAATTTGCAATAAACACTAGGTGTAAACAATTACCTGTGACTTGTTACACTTATTTGTACAGGCAGCTGGCTAAACAGACACACTACTCACACGTCTGTCCCCATCAAACTCGACACTGGAAAACAATTACTAGTCAATTTCCCTGAAGAAAAAAGTCAGTCTTATGGTACATGACAGCTGGCAAGGAAACTGAGTGAGCAAATGTGGATGCCTATAGATGTATGTTACAAAAATTGAAGGATAAAAATAAGTAAGTGAATGGTGGCATTTTTCTGAGAACAGTAACACTTTTCTGGCCATCTACTATCAGATCTTGAAGTCTAATAAGGTACTAGGTGGATATGGTGCTTTAGTGACTGGTCAGGGTGAGACCCTAGGGCAGGACTTGAGCACAAAGCAACAAAATCAAACAGGGAGTCAATGAAAGAGATAATACAAATGTCTCTCTAACAATTCTAATTGATCATCGTACAAGGGGCAGGCAGACACAATTTGCTTTGCCTTCAATTTGCCTTTCCAGCATTATTTTACCTATTTGCATTTTGCCATGGTTGGTGTTTTCCTTCTAATTTGATTCTATTAAATAGAAATGTTAAAGTTACAGGGCCAAGCCACTTCATAAATATTTACCAGTCACATTGTAGACCTTAAATGACTGGCTTTACCCCTGCATGATAATGAACAAGTAGAAGGATGATTGATGAGGAAAGCTTGGCTTTATTTGTGTCTCATACAGCACACACTGACACTTTGTATAACAATAATCTCATAAAGTACAAAATGCACAAACTCCATGGGATTGTCAGGCCAGGTCAGGATGCGGTCTTGGAGAAGCAGCTATTCCTTTGAAATGCTGTACCAGCAAGGCATTTTTTGTGTGCTTGTTGTGCTGTTCTATTCCAACGGGTATTTGCTCTTAAACCTCATGATCCAAATCATTAAGATGGAGAAGAGGCCCTTTGCAGTCACTGCGACCCATTCCTGGGTGAGGTCTGTCTCCACATGGGCCATATGCCGCCTCCTAGGAGCCATCTCACTGCATATGTTGCAGCTCTTTCCCCTCCATAGGGCATATGGCTTTGGACAATAATCCACTTCTCCTCAGGTGGCTCTTATTGTGGGCGCTGCACTCTTTCCCTCTGTCGCACTGAGGTCACTGCAAATAAACATCCTTTTTAAAAATTCTACTTTGAACAAGTATCCAGTAGAACCACAATAACGTGTAAATGGGTCAAGTTTGCAGACCAGCAAGTGTCAGGTGGCCAGCTCTTTTCCCTTCCTAAAGCGATGCACCCCAAGGCCGCTGGGGGAGCTCTTGCTGCAGGTGTCCTCAGGAGCGCCACCAGCTTTTCTGCCCCGAAAGGCTGCCCCCCCCAGAGGTGGCGGAAGGTCCCGCCGCTGAAATGCCGCTGTGGTTGCCACCCCCCCAAATCGCAGTGCCCTAGGCGACCGCCTAGGTTGCCTAATGGGTTGTGCCGGCCCTGGGTGTCCTGGATAGGCAGTATGCACGGGGGCTGGAGTACTCCCTCCCCAGGAAGGCTGTGACTGGGTATGGTCCCCATTTGCCTTCCTCAGGGGCTCTAGGGAACCTATCTTCCTCCATGGGGGCTCTAGTTCAGGGGAGGCACTGCACTCCTGCCCTATCCGTACTACTCGCCCCATGCTGAGGGGTATGTCTCTTGTGGGTGCTCTGTCCCCTGCCTGGGGTGTGTGGCTGGTGGGTGTTCCACCTCCTTCCTGGGAGGGTTGTGGGGGGGGGTGTCTCTGTCACTCTTAGGGTACTATCTATGCCCTGCAGCCCCTCCAACCCTGAATCGCCCTAAGATGCTGTGATCCCTCCCTGGGGGGCTTTCACTTCAAGTGCTGCGCCCGCTCTATGGGGAATCTCGCGGGAGGCGCCTTGTTCCCACCCTAGGGAGCGCGGGGGGCCCCTCCCGGAGAGGTGCACGCTCAGCATCAGCACTGGAGGAGCAGCGCCGCGCGGACAGCTCCTCACTCGGCGCCGGCTCGCGCTGTCTGCAGGGCGCGAGCGCGGCCGGAGACCGCTCAACCCTAACCCTATCGTGGAAGCCCAGTGCGCATGGCGGAGCAGCTCCAGCCGAGTCGGGGGGCGCAGGCGCAAAGCCAGCCTTTCCAAGCAAGCAGCGGGCTCGGCTCGTGTGTCTGCTCCGCACATTCACAGCAGCGCTGGGAAGCTTTGTCCTGAAACGACCGGCAAATCAGACCTACCTGGGAATTGGGGCTGCAGCTCTGTTGCAATGGGACTTTTCTGCCGTGAGATGTTGCTGCACCGGGGCTGTTCCTATTAACTAGCTCGGAGTGCAATGCAATATATTTCCCCTCCGGTGCGAAATCGACCGTTGTCTCTTCCTTCTGTGGTTGTTGCATTGCAGTATGACTCTGTTGTGTGTTTAGTACCCGTTTAGCAGCCAGCGCACGGTGCAAAGGACGGTTGCATTGTTCTCCTTACTGGCTGGCTTTCAGATTTTGCTATCACACCCCCTTGCCCTGAGTCTCTCTGCCATTGATGAGTATGAAAGTCACTCAGTGGCTGCTTTCTGCCCAGGGAAACGTTGCATCAACCAATGCAATGCACACAGCTGGCTGCTGTACAATAACCCACCCCCGCCAAGAAGCACCTTTAACTTAGTGATTTATGACCAGAAAAAAAGAAGTGGGTTCCTTTTTGGAAGGCGGTGTGTGGAAGATGGTCCATTAGGTTAATTGACCTCCGGGCCGGGCTTTTGTACAATCGATTAAAAATAAAGTCGGTCTCTTTAATAAAATAATTAACACACAGGAAAGGGAAATGTGGGGAAAGTGATGCATGCAAGGTTGATCCATACAAACCAGTGTCTAGAGTCTTTATTGTTCTGCATTAGACAACAAAGAGAGGAGTTTGCCTGGAGGGGCGGGGGAAGAAGAGGGAGTGGGTCAACCAGCCTAATGCCGGCCCCTCTGCACTGTGCCTGTCCAATCGCCTCACACAGCGATAGTGTCAGTAGCATTGTGCTGTCAGCCCTTGCCGCTTACGCGGCGGCTCCCTGATTCCCCCCCCCCCCTCCAGTGCTGTCTGGCTGCAGCAGTAGGTCAGACCGAGGAGGGGAGAAGAGGAAAAAACGCTGAGTGAGTGGAGTGGAGTCTGGGAGGGGCTCCTTAAAGAAACGCTGCCATCGCTTGGCATTGTGGCCAGCAAGGAACTCAAGGGGGGGAAATCATCGGAGCTCCTCTCGCTGTTCTTCCCCCCCACCCCACCCCCAGCCAAAAAAACTTCGGGGGGGAGTCGTGGGGGGGTGCTGAAAACATCTTATAAACCGGATTGCACTGAAAAAAAAAGATACAAAATATACAAGCAAAAGGCAACTGATCCCCGGTCTCCAGCACTCGCCTTCCCTCCCTTTCCTCCTCTCCTGCTGGCCATCTGCCTTGGGTTTTCCTTTGTGTCTGATCTTTTACTACTGAACCGAGTGCAGGAGGAGGAGGAGGGTGGAACACACACCGGGACTATGCCCAGCTCGCTTTTTGCAGACATGGAGAGGAACGGGAGCGGCGGCGGCGGAGGAGGTGGTGGAGGGGGAGAGACCCTGGATGACCAAAGAGCCCTTCAGATAGCCCTGGATCAGCTCTCCCTGCTGGGGCTGGATAACGACGAGACGAGCTCCATCTACGACAACGAGCCTCGGAAAAAGAGCGTGAACATGACAGAATGCGTCCCGGTGCCCAGCTCCGAGCATGTCGCTGAGATAGTGGGGAGGCAAGGTGGGTAACTGTATGTGAGTGTGTGTGAGAGATTTTCTCCCCTCCATGCTGGCTGGTCTGTGTCTGAGATGCGACACTGACTATCCCCAGTGAAGCTGCAGTGTTGTTATGGCCAGTACTAGGTTCCCCCACAGACAAAGAAAGTGCAGTAGACGTGGTGCCTCTAAGGCGCAGTATGCATCAATTTCAAGATGCACTTTCACCGACCAGCAAAAATAAAA